ACCAAAAATCACAACCGCGTAGTTGGGGCCTTCAACCGAAATCCGAACGCCTCCGTTAGGGATGTGGCTAAGAAGCTGCACCTAAGCCGAAGTTTTGTCCAGAAGGCCATCGAGAAGTACTGGGCGATTATGAAGCAGCACCTTCTTAAACGACCTAAGGTAGTGAAGACAGTCGAGGAACTGAAGAAAGTATGGGTTTACATGCAAAAAACGGTTGATTCACAGGTTGTGCAGAATCTTATGGCCGGGGTTAAGGCCAAGGTGCGGGCATTTGCGTATGGACTGTAAATAAAATACGAGTAAAATGGTAAAATGAAGTTTAATAGTTATTTGTCAATCCCTGAAAATTTGATGGCAATCGGATGAAAACTCGAATTTTGCGAATCAATTTTGTATGTGGCAATTTCATCGTGGACACCCTTTATGAGCCTCTATTTTAAATCAACACACAGACGTTCCTAGGCTATGGTGCCCGTTTGGTCACTGTTGTTTTTGTGCTGATCCAAATAGTTTTGATAATATAATTGCGCATTCTTGTTTTTTTAAAAGGTTGATTTTCGTCCCAGTCTTGTCTTCTGTCGTCACTTATTTTGTCATTTTGTCTTGTGTATTAACCCCCACTTGTCTTGTTTATTGTGTCAACTTGTGTCTATTTTATTTCTCGATTACTTTTTCAAAGGGAAGCACCAGCTCCTGCAAACAATGCATCCGATCGTCGATCCGGCGCAACCGGCAGCCCGCACACGCTTATCAACACCACCAGCAGGTAGAGAAAAATTTCCCCTATCTGATGATAGTGCCAGCCCGCGTGGGCGAGCCACCAGTTAAGCCAAATCAACGACCAAACGCACCACCTACAAAAGCCAATAAGCTCCCTTGAAAAAGTTATCGAGATTTCTACTAATTAATGAATTATTGACAATTACCTCTCATGATCCTTGGCTCTGATTTTAACTTACCACTTTTTGATTATTTATCAAATACCTCTCCCAGAAAATATAACTCCCCGATGCCTTGTTGGTTTCTGGTCTCATTTGGATTGGTCCTGAATTTGTTTGACATCCTGTTCGAAGTAATTCTTTGAGTTCCAGCTTGTACGTGTCTCACATCATATGATTCGCCATTCATAAAGATAATGGGTTAAAAGGGAGTAAAACATACATAAAGGTAGATTAGTAATAGTTGTACTTGATCCAAACAATAGAAAGAAGCATAGATGACTTAGTAGAAAAATAAAACTAATAAATAACTAAAAGTGCAATGGATAAGTGTTAGTTCCGGGATCATTTTAGTGTTAGTAGTTATGTTAGTTTTGATCCGTATTCAGCCCTGCTGGCCCCTCAAGCACTATTTGCAGCAATTGTGATAAGATTATGCGACCCTGCTACTACTACTATGTTAGATGTATGACTTGTCAATTTTCGCAACGCAATGTCTTTCAATAAATCACTCAATCAATTTAATGTTTGAAAATTTGCTCAAAAGGGCTTTGTTGACACATCATACCTTACCGAAAACTAAAGCACAACAATCCTAATTCTTATTTCAAACCTATCAACATATTTAACACATCTTTCCTAAAATTTCACTTGTTCGTAAGCGCCTGGTTGAAGATATGACTTTCGCTATTGACATTGTCTGTAATTAACAAATACACTAAATAGGAAGATTTATTATACAACTTCATAGGCTAGTCGCCTCCCTAAGCGGACTCCCCGCGTCTTATCTCTTATGTTAAATAACTTTCTGAATTCTATAATTGAAGTTTATTTAATAAATAACTGAAATCTCTAATCTACCTACATAACCCATGCTTTTAAACTACAATTTAACGTGTTTCAAGTACTTCTGGCATTTACATATCTTATCTTATATCTTTGTTCGTCCCAGATGACACCTTCAAGTGACTAAAATGCTTCACTTTGAAGTTAGTTTCCTAGCTAATTTTAAATTGTATATTTTCCCGAGCCATAGTTTAAACACTTATCCCGAGCCATAGTTTAAACACTTATCCCAAATCAAAATGAAGCACATATAAGATTAGTTACAATACCATGTACAAAAATGATGTTTAAAATTGTTTTCTGAGTAATACTTCAATGAAAACAACAATGAAAGCTTGTCACGCAAATAGAAGGAGCACTGTTGGGCACTTTCTGAAATATTTCAATAGTATAATTCCCTTGCAAACCCAAATAAATCTATCTGCGTAAAAAATAAATAAAATAAGAGTGATTTGCGGCAAAACCCGCCAGTATCACACCCAACGTCAGTGCCTATACGTAAGCGTACTACGACGCGGCTCTCAATAAAAGGAGTAACAAGTGTGATACTATCACTGCTATACTAGATCTTTGGTTCTCTCATGCAGCGGTTTATCAGAGAGGGGAAGCTTAGTAATCCCCATCGCCTGCCCATGTCGCCATTCTATCGCGGCATGAGCCAGCAACGCCGACCATAAACATACCGTCTCCAACACTCCACTATAAAATCATGAAATTAAGCCCGCCCACCAACAGCAAGGTGCAAAAACTAGCCAAGGGGAGGGAATATTCCCTTCTTTTTATTATTATTTTCATATTTAAAGTAGGGAATATTCCATTCTTTATCATATATCCAAAGAATTAATGATTTCCTTTTCTTAAATTTTCAAAGAACAGAATATTTCCATATTTGTTATATATTTAACGAATTAATGATGTTCTCTTTTATATATTCAAAGAAGGGAATATTCCCTTCTTTATTGTATATCCAAAGAATTAATTTTTTTCTTTTGCTACATTTTCAAAGAAGGGAATATTCCCTTCTTTATCATATATTTAACGAATTAATTATGTTCTCTTTCATATATTAAAAGAAGGGAATATTCTCTTCTTTATTGTATATCCAAAGAATTAATTATTTCATTTTCTTTTATTTTCAAAGAAAGGAAAACGCCTTGATCCATTAAGAAGTTTTTCTATTCTTTTTATATACGCGAAAGAAGATTCCAGGAGTGACTACAATAAACAAAAATAGTCGATCTTATACATGTCATACTTTTCTGGGGAATGGTTCATTCTGGGCAATGCTTTTTGGGGAATGGTGCATTCTGGGGAATGGTTTTCTGGGGAATGTTATAGAACCCGTAAGCGTACTACAACGCGGCTCTCAAACAAAGGAGTAACAAGTGTGATACTATCACTGCTAGACTAGATCTTTGGTTTTCTCATTGCGCCATTCTATCGCGACATGAGCCAGCAACGTTCGACCCAGGTGATACCTTCAAGTGACTAAAATGCTTCACTTTGAAGTTAGTTTCCTAGCTGATTTTTACATTATATAGGGTATATGCGCCAACTATGCTCACATGCTTCCACTATGTCGCACCAAAAATATACGTATGGGTATGTCACAAGCACGCCACAGTGGAAATTCCGAGCCATAGTTCAAACACTTAACATGTTTAACATTGTTCCCTGAGTAATACTTCAATTAAAACAACAATAAAAGCTTGTCACGCAAATAAAAGGAGCACTGTTGGGCACTTTCTGAAATATTTCCATAGTTTAATTTCCTTGCAAATCCAAATAAATCTAGCTGTGTAAATATAAATAAAATAAGAGTGATTTGCGTAAGCGTGCCTATACGTCAGCGTACTACAACGCGGCTTTCAGACAAAGGAGTAACAAGTGTGATACTATCACTGCTAGACTAGATGTTTGGTTCTCTCATGCAGTGGTTCATCAAAGAGGGTAAGCTTAGTAATCCCCATCGCCCCATAATACCCATGGCGCTATTCTCCGTCTCCAACACTCCACTATAAAGCATGAAATTAAGCCCGCCCACCCGCAACAAATAAGTGTGTTTGCTTTCTTATGTTAACATACGCAGTTTACTGTATGCTGTTTTGTTTGAACTTATTTCACCCCGATTACAATACTTTTCAACCCAATAAGAAACCTCTGAACATTTTCTAATCAGAATGCTCGTTTGACTCACATTTTGACAGTTCAGGCTGCTCGATTGGCTCAAGATGGCCGCTTCCGCGAATCTCTATAATCTCTACCCGATGGTTATGTTGGTTTGTGTAGGCGTGTCTTGAATTCCGAGAAATCAACGAAAGAAGTCTAGAGTAACATTTGAAATGGGCCTATGTCCAAAACGTAAACAAATCGGGTTTTGATACCATTCTTTAGCACGGCTTGATAGCTACTAACAATCGCATAATCGAGAAAAATCATTAAAAATAACTCGATTTTCGCAGATTATTATTTTATATGGATAGCTGTCATAACGACTTTTTTTAATAATTATTGTAGCACTGCAAAAACTATTTCTGTTCGCCACGATGGTGATGATGGATTTTTAATGTTTGATTTAATAGTAGATTAATTTAAAAAAAAGTAGTCTACAAAGGTTTGGGCCTCGCGCGCGTATTACGGATATAGAGGACTGAATTTAACATTTGATAAAAAAAAATGCAATTTTGAAGCTTATTTGGAAGATACCTTGAGTTAGTAAGTTTTCTGGCAAATGTTGGGGGTTCGTGAGCATTCCTGACATTGCTGAAAATTATGATAGCATCAGATTGCGTGGTTGCTAGTGTAATAGGATGCTTTGTTGATTGTTCATTAACTCTTGATTGCTTGTAATATTTATGAATATTTTAGGCGGACAAAAAGGCGAACTAAGAGGTGGATGTCTTTGTTTGCAAACCTGGTTAAATTGTCATATTTAATTATCTTAGAGATAAATCGTCCAGCTCAAACCTCTGTAGAGGTAAGAGGTGGGACCATCATCATCATCATCACCTTGTATTAATGACCTTAACATTCATGAAAGGCGAAAGGAGGTTTACTACCCGTGGACGCATAATTGTCCCATGTGCTATGAAGTTTAATATACACATGGGACAGTTATGCTTCCAGTGGCAGTTTAGCGGTAAGTTGAGAGAAGACCAATTCAGAGATCCGCAATACTTGGTCCGATCAATAGGTAAAATACATTCTACCACTTACATATGAACTGTACACCGCTGCGAGTTCTTCCGGGGTCGAACAATTCTCTATCAAGCTAGCCTCGCTGAAATCTTTCAGCACAGGATCGATACGCGATGTGGAACCTAATCGCATAAATTTAATGTTGTATGGCAGCAACCGTCGCAGTACGTTGTCCACGGCAGAATGGGTATTGCTCGTAATCAGGATGGATTTTTTCATAGCTACCAGTAGTCGAATCAACGCTATTACGGTTTGAGTTTTCCCCGTCCCTGGGAGACCTTTGAACAAACAGTAGCTCTTGGTTCCAACGGCAGTGAGTACCGCTATTTTTTGGTGTTTGTTGAGGTTCTGTAGAATCTGCTTTGCTTCAGCAGATATCGCAGCCGGTACGGTCCGGGTAAATGTTGGCTTTTCACGGTCAATGATAATGCGTCGTAAGCTGTCCGAACGTTCCGTGTTATCAAGCAGGACCCCAACGTTCGTCAAATTGAAGGTCATCAACGTTTGCGACTCGTACTTGTCCAAATGGAACATCTCTTGAGCGTAATGTTGGCTAAGATCTCGTTCTAAGCTCAAAGTAACTTCTCGCTTGCCTATGCCTACCACACGGCCAGCGGCTACTGCTATTCGTTTTGAAGTACTACAGATTAAATATTCCTTTATCTCGAAAAATGCAGACATGTATTCGTTAGCTGAAAAGATATGATTCTATCAAAGTACATACTGCCTAGAAATAAATATATTTTATTGTTATAAACCTTTACCTGGTAATTGAGTCATACACTGGGAGTCGTTCAGATTGCTATCAAATGTAAATGTATGGAAATACTCGTCTTCCGCCTTGAAGACACGACCAGACAATCGCAAATTAATAGCTGCACGTCCAATTTTATGTCTTATCTCTGGGCTCTTGGTCCATAGGTGTTTTATGTGGAAACCTGAAAACATAGATCAGTTGTCCAGTTTCAAACTTTAAGAATGCGTTTCCTAGCTAACCCTTCCTAGCTTCTTCATCTTCAAGAAAAATCAGTCCAGCCCATCGGATAAAATAATCGATATGTCTATCGTTCAAATGATTCAATGATTCTTCAGCAATAAGTTTGATGGAGTGGCTATCTGGAAAATCTCGTTTCTCGTGTTTCAAATAGGCCGTACAGATTACGCTGAATGGACATCGCGAACAGATATGCTGATTATTCAGTGGCTCCGGTAGCTGCAAAATATCCCTAGCCAGATTAAACTTTGAACTGTCAGTATTTGGTAGCCCCCGTGATAAATAGTATGCAACTTCGTTTCGTAGCATGATCAAGTCACGTTTCATGTTGCGATTGGCGGACACTGTGGAAAATTTTCCGTCACGAAGATAAAGCAAGATACCTTTGTCAACGTGATGACCAATCGTGTTCATCATCATTTCATATAGAACGACCTGTCCCTTGTGTTCCGCTGAGAAACTGGCACGACCTGTTTTCAATTCAAGGGGCATTAACTGCTTTTGTTGATCGCTTCCACATTTCGCCTCAACTGTCACATCGATTTTCCCCTTAAGTCCCAACTGATGACACCAAATGTTCTCCTCAATGTCATTTATCGCGAGAATTTGTATATCCGTCTTTGTAGGAGTAAATTTCTGAAAATAGGGCAGCAATTATCGGGTGACTGCGACAGTAAATGTAATTGTCATTTACCTTGCTGGAATGGTGCACATGGTTTTTGATAAAATCGTAGATTCTCGGATAAAATTGTTCAACTTCTTTTGCAGCTTCTACCCGACTCATTTTACATGCATACAACATTTGGGCCATATGCTTAGAGTTGAGAAGTTCCCGTCCTGCAGCAACAATATCAGCCATATCCATTAGCTTGTTCCTTAGTATTCTCTGTAGCAATTCGTGCACGATCGTTCCAATAGTCATCTAGAAACAGTTTGGTTCAAAGAGACATGTCACACCTAATTGAATCAAATAACTCAATGAAGATTACAATTCTATTGTCCGCATCCACGCCCCGAAATCGATCCTGCAGAACTCCACGTCTCTGACAGTAGAGTGCCCCAACAACGGACGTGCCTGATACCAAATAGTCTGGGTCCGTAACAATCATTCCATCTTCATTGCTGATCCTGTACAAATGATTGCTTCTATCAAAAGCGCCTTTCACTGAAACTACATCGCCTTCCTTCAGCTGAAGCGACAACCAAGGTGGTTCCAGAACACATTTCGCTTTCATGTTACTTGTTTTTTGTTGTACAACTAATGTGACCGTACGAATATCTTTCTGCACAGAAACAATCCTGCACCGTTTCCAGCTTGTTAGATCTAGAGTTAATTGCTATTAAATGGGTTCATTTTATTATTAGAATTCTTTCGGATTTAACTTAATTCTAGATTATTTACCTCTGCATCATTCAGCGCATCCAAGTTAATATTAAAATTATCGTCGTCATCGAAAAAACAATTCAAGTCGTCTGGTAGTCCACTCATTCCGTTGATTTTCTTGCCGTTATCCTCATCTGTATTTTGTTCATTTAAGCATCGCACTTTTTTGGAGATCGGTTGCGAGGTTGGAACTTCATCGCCTATATTTTCCACGTCCGAATCAGCCAGATTTCCAAAATTACGTTTCAGCACGTTTTTCTTATCCATTTAATACGGGAAGTTCGATTCAGTCTGTGTGTAACCTATGTACCAAAAATCTTAAACTAAATTATCGCAATAACATTTAAAAAAACTTGACAGGCGCAATCACCATATCAATCTGCAACGGATGCAATTGCAAATAAAAATCGCGACGCGCCAAAATATAATTAAATTTTATTTTGGCGCGTCGCAACACTGTGTAAACAGAACACGGTAAGAAAAAGTCTCAACGGCCAGTTCACTTTTACCTACTTTTGACTATATAATTATATTATTTATCTACTTTTGGGTACAACTAACTTACTTTTGAGTAGAAAGCTAGTGAAAAATTCCATACGAATTGCACACAAGTAAATGAAACTACTTTGACCCGCTTTACCTACTTTTGGGTTCCTGCAATATAGTGCCGAGATGAGTGAAAAGACCTTACTTTTGGGAATTTTTTCTTACCGTGAAGACTTCTATTTGTACACCCAGTGTCAAAGCCAATCCCATATCAGTCTCGCTGGTCTCGCTTGATCAAAATCGAATAAATAAAAAGGGATCCTTTTTTGAGGTCGAAAGACTGAATAGTGGAACCATACACCGAAAATAGTTTTCATGTAGCTTTCATTGGAAACGCAAATGATTTTCACGAGGGGAACACAATAAGTCGTATGAATAAAAGCGTTTACTTTACTTTTCCCGTAAGAAAAGCACGGGAAAGTAAAGTAAACTCTTTTTATTCATACGGCCCAATTGGGTTCTTTAAGGGTATTGAGGTAAATGCATATTCGTAATCTGCATTAAAAATGGAACCCAACCTCAAAATTTCATCAATTTTGGTACACTGGAACTATTTTAAATAAGAATGATTACATTGGCAAAAATCACTTTATTAGCACCCCTCGGTGTCACTTTGTATGGGAGCGAGCTGTCAGTTTGCCAGGTTAGTGTCAAACAGTGAAGTTATTATTTTGCTTTAAATCTTGATTTAAAAATCGAGATGAAAGTGTGTGAGTTCGAAAAAAATATCGCTGTGCTCAGAAAACGAAGCTCTTTCAGATAATATATAAAAACAAAGAACCGGTGCGTTGAAGTAAAAAACGAAAATCAAAAGTACTCAAAGTAATTAATGCGTTTGAAGTAGTACACAGAAAAAAAAAGTTGTTGAATATTATATCCAAACTGCTGCAACCAGGTCAATCCATCGGTTGTGTAATATAACGTTGTACGATGTACATCGATTTTGCGAACAAAATTACATCCATTGATGTAATATTGTATCTGCTTTTTGCTATTACATCATTATTTCATACACAGAAAAACGTTGTTGAATATTACATCGAAACTGCTGCAACCGGGTCAATCCATCGGTTGTGTAATATATCGTTGTACGATGTACATCAATTTTGCGAACAAAATTACATCCATTGATGTAATATTGTATCTGTTTTTTGCTATTACATCATTATTTCATACATCAGCTTGAATTACATTGATCGATATTACATTTTTTTTTGCTGTGTCCATCAGCTTGAATTGCATTAATCGATATTACATTTTTTTTGCTGTGTACTTTGTACTTTAATTACGAAATTTCAACTGTAATTTATGGAGTCAAAAAGTAGTTAATGTTCTACATTGTAAAATTAATCTAGTTAGTTAATAGAATTAATTTAATTAGAGCCGTAGCCTGCGTTGGAGTTTAAGGTTATTGCGTGTCACTAGGATTTTTATCCATAAACAAAATTAATGGAATTCATCTGAATTTCACATAGCATTTATGCGATCACGTTAATTTTATATGATTTTTCATATCAATTTCATTGGCCTCATAATATTTATGTGATTTTGTGGTGGGATTTTTAACTATGTGATCACCTGAAAGCTATGTGGAATTCTTATGGTTTTCATTTATTAGATATGTGATAACTTTTTGAGTGTAGTTACAGACAAAAAATTATAGTTAATAAAATTAAAAAAAAAATTAAAGGGTTGGGTCTTAGACACGACCGTAGTATGACGTAGAACCACACAAAATTGATGTTTTTCATGCATTTTTGACTATTATACTTTATCTTAAAATTTTCAAGTTTTTCAATGTTTCGGTAATGGTTCACTCAAAACAATTTAAACATTTTTCTTGACAAATATATTAATGTGAAATTCCACATGATTTTCATTTGACCACACATAAACAGAATCCACTCAGAAGTACACATGAAATTTATACGCAAATGAATAGTATGTGTGGTCACGCATGGTTTTTATATGTACATATATTAAGTATGTGGCCGACACATAGATATTGATTTGTTGATCACGTTGCAACAATTCATGTGTGGAACACATAAAAACTCCAGAACAAGATCCTTAGAATGATCCTAAACAGTCCAGGACCCGAAATTTTGAGGTTCACCGCCTGGCTGACCTTCAGCCTCTCGAAGAGCGACGAACGGTCTCCTTGGAAAGGTTCAGATACACCTGTCTGAGATCAGATCTTCAGATCATACGTGATCTGGCACGTTAGTTAAGTTAGACTCGTAGTTAGGTAGGTTATCAAATTTTTCAATTAAAACAGAACACACCCCCCAAGGGGTATTCTGTCAACTAGATGAAATACGCAAATACTAAATTAGAATATCCAATGAACAAAGATGAAGAGCCAGATAGGCTAATCAATTGAAATGTAAAATCAATGTATACACCATAATCAACAGAAATAAACGAAATTTTACTACTACTACTACTTTTAGAGTCAGTGGTGTGTAATTCACCAACTTAATATCATCGAATATGTCTTTCAAGCAATTTTTTCTCAAATTTGTAAGTTTTTGTGTGGGAAAAAATTAAGGGAAAAACTTCTGATTTTATTAATAATTGTGGATTGTTAAAGATGTATTTCCCGGAAAAAAGTGATCGTCAAAGTCCATGTCTTTTTCGAGTCATTATTGAGGGGGGGGGGGGGGGTGGTAGGTTTCCAAACATTGCTTTTCTCATTGTGTCGCATTCCTCGTTTCACGCCGTGATCCACCTTTAGCCACTGACTCGGTTCTGCTTGCTGCAGGACCAAGTGTGCCAAGTGTCCGAGGCGACAATGACCAAAAGCACGACAGCAGCGCTGTTTTATATCTTTTCAGGTTCAAGCAGAACGATGTGCAACCAAACCTTATGAATGAGGCGGAGCAGAAAGTTTCTTTTGTGCAGAACATGTAAAATACATGTAGAACATGTTAATATAATTGCATATATAGAGGTACCAGATATGTTTTACAGTCAGTTGTTGGTAATCCGTCGAGTGTATGTCTCCTGTTAAGCAATTGTTTTTTGAAAATGTTGGCTCTGCATGTAAAAAATTAATTGTTTATAGGTACATAATTGTGGTTTGCTTAATATTTATTTCCCGGAAAAAAATGATCGTCAAAGTCCATGTCTTTTTCGGATTATTATTAAGGGGGGAGGGGCATGGGGTTTTACATGCACGTTTTTTCATGTCTCATTCCTCATTGCGGTGGACACGCCGTGATCCACCTTTAGCCGCTGACTTAGTCCTGCTTGCTGCAGGACCTAGTGCCACGCCGTCCGAAGCGGGAATGAGCAGAGGCAGGAGAGCAGCGCTGATTTATATCTTTTCATGTTCAAGCTGAATGATGTGCAACCAAGTGGTATTCGTTTATGATGACTGGGTTTGGGAAAAAGGCTTATTTCATGAAAACAGTGATAAAATTATCATTTGTACATTTTCAATAGTTTAATTACAGAAGAAATGGGAAAATATTTATTTCAGCAGGTTCGTAGTGTAATATCCTATCGATTGGCGTATGCATGGTATTTCGGATCGTAAAAATATATATTTTCTATTTAAAAACAAGTATTTTAATTTTTACAGTATAATTTTCATTTTAAGACTTAATTTGTATTACATTGAATATTATTACTATTCAAATGATTTATTACTAAATATATGTTACAACAGACATAACACTCGCAAGATGTTCATCGAACAAGCATTTATGGGTCAATTTAAAAGTATTTTAGTTGGTAGTACCGCCACCTGTGGCGCGCATAGTCAATTCCCTTCCGTTTGACGTTTTCACACTACCGCCATCTGTTCAGCGTACTACCATAGAGGTAACTCTAAGACCACTGGGTCCCGAAGAAAATCATTATTATTTTTGGCTCACTCAGTACCAGAACAACGGTCCCAAGCAGACCCAAGCTATTTCACTCACCCCTGCATGTTCTGCATGAATCCACACACCCCTGATGTTATCTGTCAAACTTTCATAGCGAATCAAAACAAACATAGTGTAGTAATAGAATTTCAACTAGAATAGGGTACGTTAATCGTTTGCTTGGGACCAATAGGCTACTAAAGTGATGAGCCAATTTAAAATCGTTAGTTTCGTATTGATTGTTGGTACTACCCACCACAGTGTACTCAGCAGATGGCGGATATGTTTTACAGTGAGACATATTCAATGTGTTATGTCTGTTTGTCTGTGTATGTTATTTACATCAAAACTGGATTCCGTTATCTGGTTCCGGACTAAGCAGCTCTGGTATTGTCATCCGTCTGATTTATCCGAAAGATTTTGATCTCGTCAGCTGATGCTGCGGACACCCACTATTGAGATCATTTCGTCCACCCGGTTTCCGAAAGCGTCGGTGCAGTGGCCTTGGAATCCTTCAAAGATTTTCTTTCTACGGACTGATTTGCTTCTTAAGGAAGTCGAGTTTCTTACGTTTTTTAGCATAAACGTCCTGGTATGCTTTTCAATTGGGTTGTACATCGGAGAATTTTCTTCCTGCCGCAAGCGTGGCTGAATCAGCAGCTTGTTAGCCGATTCACAACCTACCTTTTCCGTTGAAATAAGCTCGTTTTTTCTGCAGAAATACAACAAAAACTGTTTTATTTACTCACGGTGAGGGTTTTCAAATCTATTCTTACTTATTGCAGCTTTCAACATTTCCAGACGCAATTTTGTGGCGTTGATCCATAAGCAGTTTCAATTGTCAGGATCAGAATGCATGTTTGTTCGAGCCAGACGTCACACTTGCGGAATCCTTGCTCGCTGATCATTCAGGCGCACTGAGCTTATTTCGTTGGTTGCTATGACACCTGACATTTGTTGAAATTAGTGGT